AAGATAGCGACAGAGATAGGGTTGCGATTTGGCTCTTTGGAGGAAAAATTGAACCCAAAATCTTAGAAACCAGGGCTTGCGATTTGGCTCTTTGGAGGAAAACTTGAACCCAAAATCTTAGGGACCAGGGCTTGCGATTTGGCTTTTTGGAGGAAAACTTGAACCCAAAATCTTAGGGACCAGGGCTTGCGATTTGGCTCTTTGGAGGAAAACTTGAACCCAAAATCTTAGGGACCAGGGCTTGCGATTTGGCTCTTTGGAGAAAAAATTGAACCCAAAATCTTAGGGACCAGGGCTTGCGATTTGGCTCTTTGGAGGAAAACTTGAACCCAAAATCTTAGGGACCAGGGCTTGCGATTTGGCTCTTTGGAGAAAACTTGAACCCAAAATCTTAGGGACCAGGGCTTGCGATTTGGCTCTTTGGAGGAAAACTTGAACCCAAAATCTTAGGGACCAGGGCTTGCGATTTGGCTCTTTGGAGGGCTTAGGGACCATTTGGAGAAAAAATTGAACCCAAAATCCTTAGGGACCAGGCTTGCGATTTGGCTCTTTGAGGAAAACTTGAACCCAAACCTTAGGGCCAGGGCTTGCGATTTAGCTCTTTGGCTGGAGGAAAACTTAAAACCCAAATCTTAGGGAACCAGGCTTGCCGATTTTGGCTCTGTTGGAGGAAAACTTGAAACCCACAATGCTTGGGACCAGGGCTTGCGATTTTGATCTTTGGAGTGAAACTTAACCCAAAATCTTTTTAGGGACCAGGGGCTTGCGATTTGGGTCTTTGGAGGAAAACTTGAACCCAAAATCTTAGGGACCAGGGCTTGCGATTTGGCTCTTTGGAGGAAAACTTGAACCCAAAATCTTAGGGACCAGGGCTTGCGATTTGGCTTTTTGGAGGAAAACTTGAACCCAAAACCTTAGGGACCAGGGCTTGCGATGTGGCTCTTTGGAGGAAAACTTGAACCCAAAATCTTAGTGACCAGGGCTTGCGATTTGGCTCTTTGGAGGAAAACTTGGACCCAAAATCTTAGGGACCAGGGCTTGCGATTTGGCTCTTTGGAGGAAAACTTGAACCCAAAATCTTAGGGACCAGGGCTTGCGATTTGGCTGTTTGGATGAAAACTTGAACCCAACATCTTAGGGACCAGGGCTTGCGATTTGGCTCTTTGGAGGAAAACTTAAACCGAAAATCTTAGGGACCAGGGCTTGCGATTTGGCTCCTTGGGGGAAACTTGAACCCGAAATTTTGGGGACCAGGGCTTTGGGGGGAAACTTGGGCCGAGCATCTTAGGGACAAGGGCTTGCGATTTGGCTCTTTGGAGGAAAACTTGAATCGAACATCTTAGGGGCCAGGACTTGCGATTTGGCTGTTTGGATGAGAACTTGAACCCAAAATCTTAGGGACCAGGGCTTGCGATTTGGCTCTTTGGAGGAAACTTGAACCCAAAATCTTAGGGACCAGGGCTTGCGATTTGGCTCTTTGGAGGAAAACTTGAACCCAAAATCTTAGGGACCAGGGCTTGCGATTTGGCTCTTTGGAGGAAAACTTGAACCCAAAATCTTAGGGACCAGGGCTTGCGATTTGGCTCTTTGGAGGAAAACTTGAACCCAAAATCTTAGGGACCAGGCTTGCGATTTGGCTGTTTGGAGGAAAACTTGAGCCGAAAATCTTAGGGACCAGGGCTTGCGATTTGGCTCTTTGGAGGAAAACTTGAACCCAAAATCTTAGGGACCAGGCCTTGCGATTTAGCGCTTTGGGTGAAAACGTGAACTCAGAATCCCCCCCCCCCCACTTTCGGATTTAAATTATTTAAATTATTTAAATTATTTGAGTGATTTAAATTATTCAAATTATTTAAACTATTTAGATTATGTAAATTATGTAAATTATGTAAATTATTTGAATTATTGAATTCCCGGCCGAATTGAATAATTTAAATAATATAAATCCGAAACCTGCCCGTCACATTTAAATTATGTAAATAATTTAAGTCCGAAAAGGCGGGGGAGCCCGGGCCTCCCCCCAATACTAAATTACGAGCCCGGCCTCCCCCCAATACTAAATTACGAGCCCGCACCTCCCCCCAATATTAAATTACGAGCCCGCGCCTCCCCCCAATACTAAATTACGAGCCCGGGCCTCCCGTAATACTAAATTACGAGCCCGCGCCTCCCCCCAATACTATCTAACCTCTGGCTGGGGGCGACCCAGAGCGAATTAAAACTTTCTAAACTATCTAAACTATCTAAACTATCTAACCTCTATTTTGGGAAAAAAGGAGGTTAGATAGTTTAGATGGTTTAGGGGCTCGTCTCAACTATCTAAACTATCTAAACTGTCTAAACTATCTAACCTCCTTTTTTCCCAAAACCGAGGTTAGATAGTTTAGATAGTTTAGAGGCTCGTCTAAACTATCTAAACTATCTAAACTATCTAACCTCCTTTTCTCCCAAAATGGAGGTTAGATAGTTTAGATAGTTTAGATAGTGTAGATAGTTTAGAAAGTTTCAAACCTCCTGGGGGCCTCCCCGGAAAGAGGTTAGATAGTTTAGATAGTTCAGGGGCTTCCTGAACTATCTAAACTATCTAAACTATCTAACCTCTGGCTGGGGACGACCCAGAGGGAATTGAAACTTTCTAAACTATCTAAACTATCTAAACTATCGAAACTATCTAACCTCTGTTTCTCCCAAAATCGAGGTTAGAATGTTTAGATAGTTTAGGGGCTCGTCTAAACTATCTAAACTATCTAAACTATCTAACCTCCTTTTCTCCAAAAATCGAGGTTAGATAGTTTAGATAGTTTAGATAGTTTAGAAAGTTTCAAACCTCCTGGGGGCCTCCCCGGAAAGAGGTTAGATAGTTTAGATAGTTTAGATAGTTCAGGGGCTTCCTGAACTATCTAAACTATCTAACCGCTTTCCGGGGAGGCCCCCAGGAGGTTTGAAACTTTCTAAGCTATCTAAACTATCTAAACTATCTAACCTCTGTTTCTCCCAAAATCGAGGTTAGATAGTTTAGATAGTTTAGGGGCTCGTCTAAACTATCTAAACTATCTAAACTATCTAAACTATCTAACCTCCTGTTTCTCCCAAAATCGAGGTTAGATAGTTTAGATAGTTTAGGGGCTCGTCTAAACTATCTAAACTATCTAAACTATCTAACCTCCTTTTCTCCCAAAATCGAGGTTAGATAGTTTAGATAGTTTAGATAGTTTAGAAAGTTTCAAACCTCCTGGGGGCCTCCCCGGAAAGAGGTTAGATAGTTTAGATAGTTTAGATAGTTCAGGGGCTTCCTGAACTATCTAAACTATCTAAACTATCTAACCTCTTTCCGGGGAGGCCCCCGGGAGGTTTCAAACTTTCTAAACTATCTAAACTATCTAAACTATCTAA